TCAATACATTTGTATTTAGACACTACTGGTTTTCCCTTCTTTTAGTGAGTCAGAGACAAAAAGCTGTGTTTAACCAGGTCAGTATGAAGACAGGATACCTGTAACAGTCTGATGGTTGCCTTTTCTCATCGGAAGTGTACTAATACAGTCACAAGGGCTAGTCCTTCCACAATACACCCTTCTGAGTGTTATGTTAAAAACCCTAACCACATGCTTCCTCTCAGGAAAAATTCCTTGCCACACCATGCCTGCCAATGGTTTCTGTGGTGTCATAACTAGTAAACAGGCTTGGAAAAGCTGCTAAGGTAGCTCAAGTAGTGTTGGCAAACAGCTGTCACCGTGCTAAAGCAGCAACCCCTAAATGTAGGTTTTGTAGTATGAGCTTTTAAGTAGTGTTCGTGTCACTCTACTGCTTACCTCGGCACCATAGAGCAGCTCAGATGCCCGGGAAGAGCGACCTATAATTAGCCTAATTGGCCACTGGATGTCAGTATCTTGCCGCAGAAGCAGAACTGCAAGAAGGCTGGCTTTTCAGGTTGCAGAAGTGGTGGTTATTGAAGCCGATTCTACCCCCCCTCCCAGTATTCGCTTCAGTCATAATATACCAATTGTATCCCCCCACCCCAGTGAATGTCTTGTGAAATAGGGCTTGAGACAATGTCTATGTAGCGTTTGAATGGCCCAGAAAACTTCTGAAATTAAGATATAGTACTGAGATTAGAAATAATGAAAAACAATCACAGTTGCAGGCATTACTGAGTTGATCAGATCTGTTTGTACGTATGCACTGAATTTGTTTGCTTTGACTGCTACTTCCTGCTTTAGTCAGGTCAAACCTTCTCTGCACCAGCACCATTTTACCTGGAGCTGTTGCAGGTTCAAAGCAGAGGACAGTCCTTTTTGGCTAATTTCTCCTCCTCCCAAAACAAACCAAAGCAAACAAACAAAAAAAGAGGAAAGAAGGAAAAAAAGAAAAAAAAGTACAAGTAAAGTGGGAGGGGGATGTAAGACTCTCCAGCCCCACAGTCTCCTGTGTGCTTAATCTGTCAATGTGTATAAAGGCATTTTCTACGGGTGCCTAGTAAATCTGGTGTTTTGCAGGACTTACAGAAGAGATTGTTTCCCTTTCTGGTATCACATGGTTGCAGGTGCAGTGAGAGGGAAAGCTGTCACGACAGAACTTCCAGAGAGATGCGAGGCACAAGTTCTGCAGAACAACCCGCTAGACATAAGATCTCAAGTGCCAAGGAGTGCATTATATGGGGTGTTCTGGACCGCTTTCCTAAATTTAGCAGCCTAATGCTGCTGAGAGCAATTTGGGATTTAGGGTTTTAAAAAATTCACTTGTTATATTGAACGTTTCTTTTCACTGGAACCAAATTGAGCTCAGCTGGCAAAGAGAAGAGTTAGTCTTGTAGATTTTTTCCCCTTAGGACTAGTGACTGCAGAAGCTGGATACCAACCAAAGTGGAAACTAACCAAATTATCTGATACTGTGTGCCCAGCTTTGCTTTGATTGAAGTGAAAGTAGACAAATTAGACCTGAAATTATCATCTGGCGGAGGGGGGAACTATGGGAAACACTACATTCCTTCCTCCAAGCTCTCTGACAAACATTGTTCAGAAATAACTTTCACTAGCAGTTTTCTACATGAAATACATACTACCTATGCTAAAAATACACATTAACAAACAGTATAGTCAGCACATTGAGACTGACCTGCAATTTTCAACATGTGATTAAACTGAAATGTGTTTGTTGTTAGAATTGTATTGGAAGGCTGAACAAATCAGCTAATTAACAATATTGGTGGTTTGGGGCTTTCTTGTTTATGCTGTTCTCTGCATGCATATCATACCCATACAGCTCACAGCTGACAGGGAAGCTAGACTGCAAAAGCAGAGTTCTCCCTTGAGCAGGAGTTATTCTAGCACTTTCTGAGTCTGGCATCACTTGGTTTGCTTGGTCCTAAGGTTATGACTCCAACCCCAGTTTTCAGTCTAACAGTTTGCTTTTGTGTCCCTTCAGTACTGTTACCAAACAGCATGATGTCCTAACTTTCCGCTTTTTCTTTAACATGTGTTACAAAATAAACAATCCCAGTCATTCATTTGTAGAGAGCATCATGGGAATGCTATGCAGCCCTCTGTAAAGGATAACAGTGGCAGCCATGGCTCTCCAATCAGTGGGAAGCTGGAAGGCATCTTCTTTAGCTGCAACACTGAGTTTAACACTGGGAAGCCACCACAAGATTCACCCTACGGAAGATACAGGTTTGAGATTGCAGCTGAAAAACTCTTCAACCCAAATACTAACTTGTACTTTGGAGACTTCTACTGCATGTACACGGCCTACCACTACGTCATTCTCGTTATCGCTCCTGTTGGGTCACCGGGAGACGAATTCTGTAAGCAGCGTCTTCCTCAACTAAATATAAAAGATAATAAATTCCTGACCTGCGATGAAGAAGATGGTGTCATGGTTTACCATCATGCCCAGGATGTTATTTTGGAAGTAATTTACACTGATCCTGTGGATCTGTCCCTCGGCACAGTTGCAGAAATTACTGGTCACCAACTAATGAGCTTGTCTACTGCAAATGCAAAGAAAGATCCCAGCTGCAAGACCTGCAATATCAGTGTTGGACGTTAAAACTTCCCTCGTTACTTAGGAGCCTTCAGACCTCTGTTGCCCATTCCCATAGTCCGACATTTTTCTCAGAAGCATGCACATGCCGCTGTCACCAAAAGCAAACACGAGTCTTCAGAATCTCCGGTAGCGTTTTTAGTATTTCTTCTCTCCCTCTTTCCCAAAGATGCTTTAAATGATTAGAAGTCCTGGAGTTCTTTCTGGCAACTAGATGCTGCAAAAATTGTTTTCTGTTTCTTGCCAAACATAACAAAATCCTATATAAACTGCTTTAGCAAAATAAAAATAACAGCTTATAAATGGTGTTTAAATATGCATTCGTTTTAACTACTGAACAAATACCGGGATAACTCCAAACAGCATGAAAGGTTGTAATTGCAGCATGATTTAAATTTCAAAGCCTAGACATGTCAGCACTTCCAACGTGTTGTTTGACAGTGTTATTTATGTTATTTATATTAGCTAACTGAAAACAGAAGCTGTGTCTCGACATAATAAATATAATAGAAAAATATTTTATTTGTACTGTTGTATAAAATATTATACAATCATATAGAATATATAGATTACATTTTAATATCAATTGTATACATATGTCATGAAATCATTTTCCCTTATCAAAGATGTAGTTTGTAAACTTCAAATAGCTCTGTATCTGTTCCTGTTACTCTAGATGACTTTAATTAAAACAGATTTACGAAGGAGACCATTTCTGATTCATAAAAATCAAGTTATAAATTATTAAGTCAGTACACTGAAACAACAAACCTCTGAGAAATAAAATAAATTCCTTTTCTAGTGTTCATACTTTTTCCTCCAAACTACTCGAAAATGTATACGTCTTCAAAATCATGCCAAGCCATTACATACAATATCAATACAAACGTGGTTGGTACATAACAGGCTTTATAAAATGAAAGTCTTACCAAGATAGAAAACAGGTTGCTTACTATGTGGTCAATACAAAATGACAGTTAAAGCAGAACACTAAACGTGAGTCAACTTACTCAAGTCCTGGGTTTTTTTTGTTTTCTTTTCCCCATTTTTCCTTCCTTTATATCTGGGTCAGGTATTTCCCAGAATCCCTGCTTTTCATTTCTGGTACAAAAGCCACTGATAATCCTGTTAATAGTCCACTTGTCACACAAATGGTCTATCACAAATAGTGAAAAAAATCTCCTCAATAGTACAAAGTGTGGTGCTCTGAAAGTTAAGAAAGATGCATAATTCCAATGGAAAAATATCTTTTTTATAATCTTATTCTTAGTAAACAAGAAGTCTAACATTCCTCATCAGATAACTGTGACACTCAATTATATACCATGTACTTCACCTATCCAAAATATCTTAGCATAATGCAGTAATCTTGTTTTAATATATATGTGGCAATTTATAACACAAGAAATACTTCAACATTTTACAAAGTGCATGCGTCTAAACAAGCTTTGGTAATTAGAAAAGCAAATGTTTTAGCGTCAGGCAAAATAAAGTGCAAAGTTTAATACACAAATAAAAACTAGCATGTAGTTGATCTATTTACTGAATTTTAAGTACCATCAGCCGGGTCCTGTGAACCATAGTGGAAAGGGCAGCAGCCAATACATTTGTTTTGTCTCTTCCCAGTAAACTATCTATTTCATTTTGCCAAACACTTCCTCTTATTTCAAAGAAACTACAGCTCCCTTTGGCAGTCATGTTCCATCCTGGGGTTTTTTTCTTTTCTTTTTATTTTTTTTCCTTTTTGTTCTTTTTTTTTTCTTGTTTTGCATAGGCCGCAGCACTTTGCTCTACTCCCAGAATTGTAGCCCAAATACTGGCACTGGTTCTCTGTGTGCACCTTTCTCTAAAGCTACTGGAATTGAATGACAACTGCGTCTCGAAAGAAGAGTATGTCCATGAGTTTTTCCTTCATTTGTTTTAAGCTCGTATTTCTTTTAATGTAGTGAACCATTGAGAACCAACATTAATAGTTAATTATAGTGCATGTTAGTTCTGGAGAGAAATGTGTGGTACATTATCACGTACTAAGATGTACTAAAAACTTGGAGAGCCTTTCCTCTTGTTTTTTAAAACTGCGAGCAGATCAAATGGAGAATCTGCAATACTTCAGTGTCCTTTTCATTTCTAATATTCTCACAGTGCACTTCAAGGCTTTTTGAAAAGGAAAAAAATAGATACTATCACCCACTCACCCGTGCTTAATTCTTGCATATTGCTGTCCTTTCTTATCCCAGCTAGTGTAATTGGTAAAGTGCATAAAAAATCTCAGTGTGTCAAATAATCGTGCAGCAGACCAAGACCTGTACTTCATTTTTTTCATTACTTGTTTGCTTGGGTTTTGTTTTTTTTGCTAGAGAACACCACCATGGCATTGCATTTGCTTCAAATTGTTTTGGAAATATCATGCTTACTGATGAGAACCTCCAAGAGCCTGATTTTGGCTTTTGTGTGCTTGTATTCAGAGTATTCCTCGGCCATTGGCACCCGATCTTCTTTTTGAGGACTCCTGTGAAAAGCAAATAAAAATGCCATCCCTTTTAGGAGTGAGAGGAGAAATAGTCTTTAAAATTAATTCTGCAGCAACTAATAAGGATTGAGTTGGATTGTTTTTTTTTCCTAACTGTAGGTGACTAAAGATAATTTGACAGGACCAAAAAGCTCTTATAGACAGAAATGAAATAGTAGTATTTAAAATACTGAATATAACAAGTACTTTTCTTTCTTGTCAGCTATGCAAGTATAACTACTTCATTCTAAAATATGCCAAGAAGTTATTACACAGTGCTTTGAAAACTGTTACCAGAATACTACATGCCCATGTCCTCCCTGGTTTTCACTAAACAAGTTTGCTAAATGAATGGTGGAGGATAAACAAAGAGTTAAAAGTAGTCAGCATTTATCTAGGGGTGAAATAAACAGTAGCTTCTGTTTTTAAATCTGGCCTTTTAAAAATGGTCCAACTGCCCAGTGTAATTCCTGCAGATTTACATCCTCAGCAAGGCTCTTTAGAAGCCTCCCTTCAGCTCAGGAAAGATGCTGTGCTGAGATGGGCTTTATACCCATTGCAGGCATGTCCTGGAAGATGCCCAGACCCAGACCATCCTCAGGGATGCTTACATCCCAGAGGAAGTAAGCAGGGAGATGGATATCTTCACAGAGACCAGACACCTCCATGGTCTCTTCCAGTCCCTAGCTGCAGCTTCTTTGGCCTGCTCACCTAAGAGTGACCACCCTAACTGAAACACACATGTCTGCACAGGAGCCCAAAGGGGATGAGAGGGCTTTTGTTGAGCTGGTTATTTACCTTCCTGTCTGCTTATAGAATTGTTCCTCAAACTCTCTTAGAGCTTTGCGAAGTCTTTTCTTATCTGCTCTTGTTTCTCTGAGATGTTCAAGCAGAACAGGCCTGTAAAACAGAGACAAGAACATGAAAGCCCCATGTGCTTGGAGGTATTGTAAAAGCTGTGGCTTTGGGTAAGCAGCCTGCTGCTATGGCCCATGGCAGGCATTGACCTCAGTGACCTGAGACATTCCACCACATCCCTCCAACTGTGGCTATAATGGGCTGTACCATCACACACGATAGATAAGCAGTATTGCTCCCTCCCTTTTACTAGTATCTCACCCTTCTAATAATGTGAAGGCAGAGACTCTATGGACAACATGGGAGGAAGAGCTTTCAGGACTGAGTCTTGCAAGTGATTTTTAATTCTGTGTAGAATTAATGGAGTTGGCAGGGCTCAGCATCTCACAGGAAATGCTTTGCATCACTGTAACTGGGTTAATAAAGTCAACATCCAAGCCTTACTCCTAAAAGCAGCTGCTATCAAGCATTACCATAATTCAGTGGAAATGCTAGTGGTACCAAGAATCAACATTTTTTAGCTGGTATTTGGCAAATAAGGGCTTTCAGCACAGAAAGAATTTAGTTATGACATATGCAGCTGGTATTTTTTTCCATACTAACAAAATGCAGAGAAGTATCTTTTCAGCATTTGTGAGCAAACTATTGCATATATATAGTTTAGTGACATAGATATACTAATGAAGTTGACTAGGCTAAACCAAAATTGAGAGTAAATAAAAATGTCTAGGTTTTCTAAGAGTTCCCAAACAAAACACAACAAAAAAGATACCATCCCATAAGCTATGAGAACACATCTGTTCCCAGGAAGGCATATTCTTCAACAAGTTTCAGGGCTAGGTGATGACAGCCCATGTGCATCTTGAGATTTGTTGTCATGTGCAAGCCTTAACTTTGAATCAGGAGAGCTTTATTTTGATTTTATAATGGAGGGTAGGAGGATGGTGTCAAGTTTTCTGGGCATCCAGACACTAATAACTATGCTTATGCAAGGAAGAAACTGGTTTTACATGCATTTAGTGGCCTTCCATATGACCCAGGTATTGCACAATCCCTCACTCAGCTCATCTGTTGCTGGTTGTGTGCTTCACGTCTGGCATTTTTACTTCACCCACACAGTCAATCCCAGTACAGGGACTGCACAGGAGCAGACTGCCCTGCTTGGCTGAACCGTGCTTTGTTTAATGGCTGCTTTGAAAGAACATAAGTGGATATCTAAAAGTTTTGCAGCAATTATTGGTCAGCATATCTTTACTATGCTATTATGTAGTATCTACCATTCTGTAGTTATTTCCCTTCTCTGCTTATATTCCTTCACCTTTCTCTTCATGAACTTGGCACAAAGTAAGTTGTTTGGATAAGCAGCTCAAACCACAGGTATGCCGCCCAAACAGTGATTATCCTCTGCCTCTTTTCTCCATAAGAAAACATTGAATCACTTCTTTGGTGTAGAATATTCCCCTACAATCAGTATGGATCATGTTTCATTTACAAAGTCTACATAAAATATTTTTAAAAGTTCAGGGGGGGGAAAAAAAAAACACCACCAGAACTTACATTGTTGCCTCATGTAAATTGGACATAGATGAGGCTGTCTGCCTGAAAACCTTCTTTTCATCCAGAGGTGAGACATATGCAGGCTCAGTCTCCTCCTGAGAGTAACACAGGTGCTCATCAACAGGGAGGCAAGAGATTGGACTGGATGATAACTCGTGGCCACTTTGAGAATGGTCTTCATCTGAGTCTTCCTCCTCCTGCTTGTAAAATGTAAAGCTTTATTAAATTCATTGTTTACCTTACTATACTAACAATTTATAGGATGACACCATGAAGAATTAGGATTTAGCTTCCTGAATGCAGTCATAGAAATAGATTCTAGATATTGAAAGCTTTACCCAGGTCTACCTGGCACTGTTCATGAGAGATCTTGCGGGGCTCACTGAGCTACTGCATGTTGTCCACCATGTCTAAACAGGACAGAAGTTGGCCCTGCTTCTGAGTATCTCCAGCCAGCAATTTATTTCTCTTTACTCAAAAGCCTTTATAAGTAGCAAAAGTTTAAAGAACATTCTGTATTTATGTAAGCACTGCAGTCTTGCTGGAACTTGTACTCCTCTTATATACCATCTACTGTGTGCATTATGTCCAGATGTTCTGACTGTAACAAGAGTTGGAGGTGGAAAGTCCCATTTTTTTATAGATACAAATGTTAGCTACTGAAATAGAGTGCTGTTGCCGTCTTCCTCACATTCCTTCATCCACAGAAGAAAAGCTGAGCTTTTGAAACTAAGGCTTAAACGTAAGAACTCCAGGGAGCAAAGGTTCTGAGAAGTAACACAAGGGGACTTCAGTTAAAATTTTAAACAAAATATCCGTGTGCATGTGCACAAAGGTTTACACTGGGATATTTCAAAGAACTGTAAAGCTCCATTGTCATCTCACAAGACAATAGTTCACAGTTTTTAAAAATCAACCCAGTCCCAGTTACTATTAGTTAGTATTTTTGATAGAGACACGCTAATTAACTTCCACTACCTCTACTTGCAAAATGCAATGTACTTATGTTACATTATGTCGATATAATATTAATCATTATAATTAATCAATTATCATTTAAAAATTATATTTCTGAGGTGCTACATGATTGATAAAAGCACTGTCAACAAAATACAGAAGATAGATAAAGTGACAGTATAGTGCTTCATGGAAAGAGACAGGTTTCATTCTGTGTTGCATATGTTAGCCGTAATTGAAAACTAACGCCAGCCCTTGATTTCTTACCCAGTTATTTGCCTTAGAAACTGGTGCCATACATTACAACCTCTGGCACACTTAGAGGTTGAGTTTTACAGAGCATTTGCTCTACTTAAAATATCAGCACCCAGAATTAACCAATGAGCAGATTCTTCCAATACTGGTAGTTCTATTGATGCCAAACTGACAAACAGGTACAAATCAAACACAGCATGTAGTATATTTTCTTAGCAACATATACAAATTCTTTCCAACTTACAATTGTTGTGATCAAGGATGGAGTTGCGAGAAGCTTCTTGATAATTCTGTATCTGTCGTAAAGAGGTTTCATGAGACTCTTTTCTTGCTTAGTTACCTAAGGAGAAACCGTAAAAAATATACTCCTCCGAAACTAAAAGTAATAAATAGATGCCTTATTTGCTCCTGTAAAGCTGAGAAATGTATTACAAGAGTATGACCTGATGTGCATTTTGCTTCCATAAATATTCCATGGGAACTGTAGTGTAATCCCATACAATGCCTAAAAACGAAAATGGCATTATATTTTCTAATGGAAAATACCCAATGTGGATTCTTCACTTCCTTGAGCCACACCATTCAGGCAGAGGGTGAGCTATTCTCTGTCTCTTTCTGAAGATGCTAATAGAGTTGTAAGAGTTAAGATAGGCTGCTACTGTGCATTGCATTGAGATCTCACTGACTTAACTGTAATAACGGCAACAGGCAAGCTGCAGTACTGTGACAAGCTGCAGTACTGTGACAAGCTGCCTGGGCCAATATACTCAGTGGCCCAGTGGGATGGAGAACACTGAGAATACAGCTTTACAGCCTCAGGGAGTGAGCTGGCTCTGTGCACAGTTGCTGTGTACATCGCTCGCTGGAACTGCCTTCCATGAGCAGGATTAACTGTCTGTTCATTTAGTTTGCTCTTGCTCTTTTATGAGCACTGTGATCATCAATTTCAAGGAGAATATTATTTTACATCAGGTATTAAGAACCTGATCCAGCCATAAATATCTGTAAATACAAAAATAAACCTTATGAAAACTGGCCACAAGAAAAAAAAACAACCACCAACCAAAACCAACACGTTCCTCAGTGATTAAATGTCCAAAGAGAGTAATTTGCAAAGTAGTCCTCTGCTCCTCAACTCACATGCCTACCAGCACTCACTGGGTACAATTTCACGGTCTTTCGGTGTTGCAACTGTGCTACTGCATTGAATCCCAGCTACACATGCTCAGATGAGTGAACACAGCAGGTTTGAAGAGATGTGGACTGACTGACAGTGTGGACAATAGGCCAGAGTTGCTCAGAAACAGCTAAATACCTGGTCAGCAGGAGGAAGGGTGACAGTAGATAAATGCAGGCTGATGACACCACGTATGTGTGGCTGATTGAATAGTTTGGACTAGTTCTAGAAGCATGCTTCACTGCAGAATATCAGGGCTTGCCTAACCCAGCTAGTCCAATTCTCTTCCCCTGTCTTCATGTTCCATTTGATTGCAATACATAAGAGCTCCAGAAAATGCCAAACAAGCCAGAACAGATCATTTTCTGTTTCAGACTTAGTCAGTGCTCTCTCTGTCTGACTGTGTGCAGGTAAGTCTGGATAAAGACGGCATTCATCCCTACTAAACATCAGCAGGGCAAACATCGTCACCAGCGCTCTCCACTGTGTTTCAAGGGTGCTATATTCATAATACTCTGAATATGCAGCAACTTGATAATTTTTTCTGAGTTCTCTCTCTTCTTTGGAAGAGAAACCTCTTCCAAGGGAGATTTCTACAATAACTGTGACATTGTCTAGAACTGAATTTTGATAATGTTATGGTGCGATATTATTTAAATGACAAGGCATGCCAGGAGTTCCTAGTTCAAACATCTAAAGTAGGGAATCCGAGGCTTCAGCAAGCAACATTCGAGTATTGTGAAAATCCATTTTCTGGGACCACCACTAGGACACCACTGCTGGTGGAGAGGCACCTGTTTTGTTAGCTGTCACCAGAGTGCTTCTGCCTGGGCCATCACCCATTTGCCTCCTTTTTTCTGTCTTTGAATCTTCAAGTCTCTTTTACCTCTATATAACACTAATCACACAATTTCTTTTGTGTCCTCCTTCTTAGGAAACATCATTTCTTCATATCCTTCCTATTTATTCTCTCCATCCCTCAGCTCTCATTCCAAGCCCTAAGAAAATGGACAAGGATAATTTTATCCAAGATGCAGAGAGATCAGATTCAGATCACAATTTTAACAGCTGGCGTATTTTTGGACACATGCTGGTGCCATTCCTCTTTCTCTCTACCACAACAATTACTGATCAGAAACAGAGACAGTCATAAGAATACAGACATAGACATCAAACAGGAATTCCTCAGGTGTGTATAGACAAATTTTCAAATCATCATATCACCAATGGTGGCAACTCTGTTTTGTCCCTGCATTCAACAATAAAGTCCCTTGAAAGGATTTTAATTAACAGTGCTGCTGTGAAATAAAGGAAAACACAGCTGGCAGGTCATATCCTTGCTGTAGTTCATGTCTTAAGTTGTGCCCTATAGACCTTTCTCAGCTGATAAGCAGTCCAACCTTTCATACATCATAGCACAGCTACAGCATGCATGAGCCAAAGCTGCTGTGGATGTATAATCTTCCACATTTATCAACAAAACCTGCAACTTCCAATCATGAACAGAGGTACAGGGCCACTAGAAACTTGCATTTTTATTTTATTTTTTTTTAATATAAACAAAATTAATCAGTATCAGGCAATAACATTTAACCCTGAAGATTAGTTTGAAATAACTAAAATTATGTTAATCAGGTAAGATTCACCTAAATATATTTAACATATGAGTCCAAAAATATTTGTTAGATAACTTAGAAAATTTTTAGTTTACCCATTTTTCCATGGTATACTTACAGGTTGTCTATGAATACTCTCAAAATACAGTAGACATTTCTGAAGATTGATTTTTTTTTTCCAAAGCCACTTGCTTTTTTGTCATGTCCTATTTAAAGAAGTTATTTATAAGATTATGAATCAGGATTTCATGACAAGGGTACAGGTAGGTATCTGTTTAATAATCTCTTCTTCCCAGATAAACATTAATAATGAATTCTGTTTCTGTCCACACTGAGGTCAATGGGGACTTGGCATTGACTCAGCAAAAGCAGAGTTCAAATATGCATAACTGAAGTTTTGAATTAAGCAAAGTACACGTTACCTTCTCAAGGCCTCGTGCGAAACCGAGGAGAGCTAGGAGATACTGCTGCTGATTACGGTAGGCTTTAGGTTAGGCCTTTACCAGTGGAAAATGTACTATATTTACTTTGACCAAAGTGGAGTATTTGGAGCCTGAACTTGCGCTCTTTCTTCTGGAGAGGGATGCATGAATTAAAATGTACTGAAAGGCTGGAATCTTCTTTTTCTTAATGTCATTTACATCATAAAGATGTAATACTTGATTGCCTTGGTTTCTTTCAGAATTACTATTCTATGAAGCAATTTAACAAGCTTAAACTCATGAAGCAGTATTAGGCTATTGACAGAACATTGCATCCTTATCCGGAAAGTTTCCAAGGGTACAAAAACTGGTCTTAGTCAATAGAATCTTTGTGTGTTGCTCGATAAAAGCCTGTATCTGAAAAACTTTTCTGGGAATACCAGTTGACAGAAAGTCTAACCAAGCAGAGGTTTTAGCTAGAATATCACAGCTAAATTGCATGGACATAGGTTATATCTCACAGACTGGATTTTGGAAAGGCGGGACCACAAACGAAAACTGCAGCATCCGAGTAGAAGTTGTTGGCATTGAGGTCCCACAGATACCAGTGCAGCACTTCCCTACAACATTTTCCAATGCTTAGGTAACGTTTTTTGAATACTGAAGAAATATTTTTCTCATCCATCACAGGGAGAAATCAGTTAATGAAATCTGTATGCTACTAACTTCTATTTGCCAGATCAGATCATAAATCTTAGATAGCATTCCCCACTATAAATTAAATATTATTTAGTTATAACAAATGAAAACAACAACCTGTCTAGACAAAATACTCAGAAACTCACAAAAATCCAGAGGACATTCCTCAATTTTTTTTAATTATTCATCAGGAATAATAGATTTGCCTCAGCCCGTAAGGGATGAAGAACAGAAAGCTTCAACTATGCAAACACAAAACATTTACAGAGTGGATTGTTGGATCCAGAATGAAATCCCTAAATATCCAATCATTATGATAATATGGTGAATGGCACATAAATGCTGAACATACTAGAAAAAGGTGCTGTCTCTAAAATGAAATGGAAGAATAATCTGATCAGCCATCAGGAAATTACGGCTAGACAGTATGTACCTTCCTGCTCTGCTGGGCTGAACAGCTAACACTAGCAGTTTATTTCTGTTCAAAAATCACAATATGAATCACTGGCACCAGAAAGAAGAATGCTCATTTTTCAGCAATGTGATTTGTCAATGTTGGTGATGCACCAGTGTACGTCTAGGTGTCTGCTGCAGGGAGCACACTGTTTAACTGGTATTTCTCTCCTCCTCTCCCTTTCCCCCTCTTCTCAAGAAGATCTGCTCCTGACATTGGATATTTCCATCTGCTGTCAGAACAGCAAGCAGCACATGAAGCTAATGGCATTTTCCACAGTCTCTGCCAGATCACAATGACAGATCTGCATGAATTAGAGCCAAGTGTTTGGAGGGTTGGAGAAGAGCTCATACCACAGTGAAGTAATGGGAAGAATGGTGGGGTTGAGGGGACAGAATATGCCTTTTTGCAGAAAGTTGATGACACGGGGTTTTCTATTGACAACTTGGAGAAGTATTTTTAATAATTAGCCTTTACTTCTTAAAAACATATCAAGCCCTGAAGAAGTAATGCTCTTCTAATAGCAAAGGAATGCCTTGCTACTAACTTCAGCAGCAAAACCTTTTTTGTTTGCTGTCCAACTGCAAAAACAGTGTAGAACCGCTAATCACATTTTGCCTTCAAGGTCTGCATGAGTTAATCACTCCAAAAGTATCTGTCGTTCATGTTGAGAGAAGAGCTGCTAACTGGAACGTAGGAGTATTATAAAGTAGCTAATCAGTTTACTTACTGCTAGTTCTACAATTAATATAAGGTTAATTCTTTCAAAAACTATTAAGCCTGGAGCAGCTGAACGGTTAGGAGGAAACAGGGAGCGATCATTAATATTGATTTTACACATGAGAAACAATCTCAAGAGGATTTTAGCATTTTAGGGCTTATTTCATTAGCTCATTTTATTAGCAATCTCAAGATGGTTTGTATTCAGTTAAGTTCAAAATGGCTGATAATTTTGAAATCAGAGAAGGCAGGTGGAATCACAAGCTGCAGAATTGTCTGAGACATCTTAGGTCTGTAGGCTGCATACAGCAACATGAAATTCGATGCTAATTAAATAAAAATACTGCCTCATAGCCAGGGAAAAGGTGACCTGAAGTGGGTCAATAATGAGAGGACGGATACATAAAGGGAACCAGTCAGAAAAAAGCCCTGGGGGACAGATGGCAAATGTTCAAACTAAACATCAGGCGAAAATAGTTTGTGCATATAAAGAAAGAAAAAGGAGACTACGCATAAAGCTAAGGTAGCAGATTGTTTTTCACAACCTGGAACAAAGGCACACAAAATATTTTATACAGTTGTCTTCCACCCTAGTCAGTTCCTTGAATGCTTATGCCTTTTACTCTCACTGCTGTTTTTCCAGAGAGAAAATGTAAATTCTGAGCACTGACAACATTCTCATTCAGTAACCTTACTCACGGGCATTTTTTGCGTGAGGGGTGTTTTGTTCTGAAAATCACATTCTGCAATTTCATATACAGATCCTGTGGTTTGTCCTCTTCAGACATACTGGGTGGTTCAGGACTTTGCACCTCTCCTAAGGACACTTGTTCTCTCCTTTGTATTTCAGCAGGGCCTCAGAGGCTTTTCACAGTGGAACTTCAGGGAAGGACTCGGCAGGCTTTTATGGAAACACTATCCCTGTCCAAAGTAACTAAATCTTGAAAAATGAAACATTTATCTGCTATTTAGTTTACTACTAATCTAGCTCAGATTCTGTTACGGGATCTAAATGTTACACACAAAATAAAATATTGCACATAAAAAATGGCTACAGTAATCCCAAAGTTGCTGCAAGCAGCAAACATCCTTGATTCATTTCACATCACCAGTGCTCTAAACCTCATTCTCCCCTCAAAGTCCAGGATGACTCATAATCAAAAACCAATCATTTTTAGTGATTACATAAATCTTACTATGCATCATTTTGAAATAGATCCATTTGACATCACTTTAATACTTTTCAATCCTCTGTTCCATAGCAGTTTCATGTAACTATTATCAAACTTTTTTGCTAATAAATAGATAGTTCTCTCAACACAAGTTCACCCTACAAGAATGTAAGAAGAAAACAATTTTGATCTTAAAAAAAATAAATCAAAACTACTAAGTTGTGCAGAAATTCTAATTACATCTCAGAATTCTCTGTAAGAATACTTCAATCCAGCACTGCTATTGGACAGATTTAGGAGGTTCTCTCTTGCAAAATCAGAAGTCATATTAATCAAAAAATGAGTGGGGCAGAGACCCACACCAAACTTACTCTTATACAAGAGTTTTTTTCTGAACAGGATTTCCTCACTGACATCTGTTTTGGTGTCATCTGATCTCACTCCTTGCATAACAACAAAAATGTAACAACTGAAAATATTATCATACAATCTGCACTGCTGGGATTTTAAGACTGTATACGGAACAGCATGGTTTTGCTGTCTTTTGTTTTCTTACAAAGGAGTTCTGGTTATGAAACACTTTTTTCCATTTCACATTTTAAACAAAGTAGTTTATAAAAAGAAACAATTATAAAGTCAGCCATGTATGGAGAGCTCGAGATCTCAGAAGCATGGCACTGGCATGCACAGTTCAAGTTTTTATACAGTAACTACTTGTGTAAGAACAAAGAAAATAGATAGATGGATACATAGATAGATAGATGGATGGATAGATAAATATTATCACTGCTGGGTACTTTCTGCTACTGAAACCCACCCAGAACAATTTCTTAGTTCTCACATAGTTTAGGATTTAGTTCTTCTTCACTCTTCCCCATCTCTCTTACCCCCTCTTCTCTTTCACTCATCAGCCAGAGTCTAAATATTACTGTCAACATTTAGCTTTTAGGTACCTTTGAGGAATTTATTGTCTTGCTTGGCTGTACAGCAACAGGAGGAGCAACATCATTTGACAGCAAAAATAACAAAAAACTTCCCACATTCTTCTGGACATTGCAGATCATCAGCTTTAGACAGACCCTTTAATGTGCCAGTAGTATGAAGGCACAGCAGATTTTTAAAATATGTTCTAGTTTAAAAACAACAATAAATTGCCTAGCCAAGCCAGCAAGTTTCATGGAATACTGCTCCTACATTTAGGAGACTAATGAATGTGGAAGAGCAGAGGCAGTGTCAGCACAAGTAAATGTACACAATCAGAAGGGCAAAGCAGTCTGGGTGGCTGTGCTATCCATGTGCTCCTAGTGCAGTGCTATCAACTGCGCAGAGGCTTTCAGCATTTCTCAGGTGAGAGAGGACCTTCATTGTCAAAACAACTTCAGGAGTGTTTTTAGTCACACAGTTTCTGTGGACTCAAGATAGGATTGCTTTTGTTGTCACTATCTGCAATACACTGGAGTACCCACTTCCTGTGCACACAGCCTTAAGCAGGCAGGTCTCAGCAGTGTCTGGCAAACAGTTCTATACATGCAACTCTGAGCAAAACGTGCCCAGCACTGTCTGAAAAACCCTTCTGCACTTCTCTTTCTGTGCAGCTCTTCACAGAAAAGTAACTTCAGAAAATTGCACTAGAGCTCCCATCTTGTTAGAGGGAAAATGCACTGCAGTGTCAGAAGACACAGGATACACAGCTATCTCATAGCCTGAGATAGCTACACACTAAATATTTGCCTCAGATTATAAAGTTCTGAAAGAAACAGTCGTACTTGTTAAATACCTTAATAGCCTCAGGAAGGTTAAAATGTTGTCTTTTCTCCCTTAATCGTCTCAATACACTGTCCATGGTTTCTTCTACTGTGGGAGCTGGTTCCACACTCGTGGCCTCCTGTGTCCTAGCCTCTTTAGAGGTCCCAGTGCTTTCACAATGATCATTTCTTTGGGGTGCTCTAGAGGTACAGTTTTGCTCTTCTGATATTCTGAGTTTCAACTCTGAAAGGCAAATTACTTGGCAAGTAAATAGATTAGAAATATTTGCAAAGAGGTTTCCTCTGGCACTACAAGAAAAAAAACCCCACCCCTCCTCCTTGCATACAATAATCATACTACAGTTGTGTAGGAAAGTAACTCTGCTTCACTTCAACATGTAACATCTTTTACCTGGTTAAAGTGAAATTCAGTGGTCAAGGGATAAGATGTGTCCAGATCAATTAAACTTATTGCACATACGTACTTTTCTTCTTCTTCCAAGCCCATCTTTGAAATAAAAGGTGTTTCCATGGGGGAGGACTGAAGAGACACTGGATTAAGGAGTGGGGTCTGGGTAGGAGTCAGTGCAGAATTTCAGTGGGAGTGAAGTTAGGAAAGGGGCTTAAAAGGACAAACAGCACTTGAGAGTATCTGTGGGAGGCTTGGGGACGGGGGGATATGGAAGCAGAGCTCACTTTCTCCCCCTTCTCCTCACTAAACCCATGCACTCTCAAGTGATCTGACAGCTGGATGAGTAAGGACATGTCCAAGCCTGCTGGGGGGATTGTTGTCTAAGTTCACAGTCCTTCACAGTCACCTTCCTGGACAAGAGGCAGCATCTCCACAGCCACCTGCTCCACCCGCACCCCAGCTGTGCTCACCTTCTCTCCTGTGCTGCTGCATGAGAAAGGAGGAGAGTGAAGGCCCTCCCCTGAGAAGGGCTGGGGAGGCCAAGCTGTGTGACAGAGCCAGCCATGCCAGCTGCCAGCGTGCTGGAGCCATGTGCACCAGGGCTGCATAACCAACCCCACCCTTCTCCAGTGCAATTTCAACCACAACCCCCTTGCCAGAGGCTGCACTGCCATCCCACTCATTCCACCGAGCTGGTCCTCACTGGAGAATCAGTCACTTTGCTTAAGTGTCTTCCCTTGGCACCTGAGAAAGTATATTAGCTTGACATCAAGCCAAAGACCCTGGAGCTCTAGGGACCTGCACAAAGCAACAAGGAAATCGAATTAAGGTCTGAGTTAGCTCCCATAAACAAAGCTTTGTTCCTAGCATATGTCTGGCTGGTGAAGGACTCGGGACAAGGCAGAGATTGATGACTCCAAATCTGTTAAATTTAACGAAATCCATGAAGAAACAGTAACATGTTTTTTTTTTTTTAGCCGAGACAGTCTGAGTTTAAAGGCCAGGTTTATAGGGAAAAAGAGTAGTTTTAATTAAACTCATAGATCTAGGAAGGATGGACAAGCCTTTTGAACTTGAAGAAGGATCTACAAGCACTTGAGTGTTTTTCCATTTCAGTTGCACCTGTCTCATGAAACTCAATCTTACTTCACTTAAAAGCAGTGTCAGGATAATAAAATTAACAGCGTTCATAGGATTGAGGTGTTTTGAGTGTGCAAGTGAGGCTGATCTGTGAAAGCTAGACCCTCTGGCTAGCTGAAGCAAGGGTTGAGTCAGAGAGATTTTGTCAGAAAGTTAACTATGTAGTTTGGCTATTTCCTCTCATTTGCCTTTCTTGGACTTGTAACACAAAGTTCAAGGCAGGGCAAGGTAGGAAATCTAGTAATTACACAGCCTAGTGTCTAAAGGGGAAATTTCCAGAAGAAATTTACTGAAAGGCGAGTTTCTAATTCTATACTTACCACAATAATACCCTCTGTATCTACATTCATAACTATATCCAGAACAGAGATGAAACTTAATACTACAATTTAATTAGTATTGAGAATCCATTGATGATTGGGAAAAAATATTTAGATAAATTATAAATAGCCTTACAAAATAAAAATCAATCAGTCCTGGCTATGTTCTCCCTCAGGGCAAGCATGTGATACATCCACAGGCATTAATGGCGCAGTATGCAGACAGTCAAGGGCAAAACTTGACCCTCCAGACCAAATCTAATACCAGGAAAAGATCTATTTCTGTGATAAAGCAATAAAAGCTTTAGAGTTGTGTAACCTCGGTCCTAAAGAAACATTTTGCACCTACACATATACACAAGGATGCTTTTAACTTTGTAGTTCTGTATATCAGACATTCTTTAAAATATTCAGGATAATAGTGTCTTTTGCATGAATGTTTATAGTGACAAGGGAGAGATTATGTCTTTTTCCCCTTCTCATTTTAACCCTTGTTATGAGGGTTGAACGGACTTCCTTTAATCCCTGCTTTTGGGAATGAAGGCAAGACATATCACCTAATATCTTTGTTGTCATTGGGAGGCTTATCACCATGTACTAGTGAAAAATCAGCAAAGCACTGAAGTTAGAAAACTAACTCTAAAATAGTCCAGGTACACTCCTATTTCCAACAGCTTCAGCAATAAAATGAAATGCTATTATGTACCTTTGAGCTGCTTTCGACCTTTGGCCAAATCATTCATCCATTTCAGAACTTCCGGATTGGAAGTCTTGTCACCATGTGAAGGCTGAATGCAAAGAAAAAAGGAATTAAAAAAAAAGGAGGAGGAATTGATGGTTATACAATCAAACAGATAAAAACCTATTCACACCCAGTATGCTAAAACATGCCCATAGTTCCAGCTGAGCTGTATCATAGTGTCACGCAGGGCACTTGGCTCTATCATGATACTGATTTATCATGCCTTATGTCTCCCTGCTGTGGCACAGGGCTACATGGATCTGAGTATTTTTGCTCTGATCCTAGAAAAAACATTTAAGTCCTTGACTAATTGGGTGTGTAATCTCAGTGACTTCAAAAGGACCTAATGTTAGTCAAGTTCCTACGTGATTTCTAGGATGGTAACCAAAGCACTCAGTCCCTTGCAGGGCTAAGTCCTTACTACTTTAAGACAGGGATTCTTCTGGGAAACAGCACTTTAAACATTTCAACTGAACTGCTTAAGTAAGCAAATGAAAAAATCCTGGGCAACAAAGTGATTTCAAATGCAACAAACAACAGAATCTTAGTGTATCAGTTCTTTATTTGCATTTAGTAATTGCTTCCAGATTAAAATAAATTTACTTCGGATCTTCAAAACTCAGATACTTAAAAAGTCAAGATAGTTTTGCAAAAGTAAACCTTTGAAATAGTTTCTTTTCTGGTCACAATGTGATGACTGTTTAAGCATGAAATTTTACTCCTAAGAGTATATGATGACCATAGGGCAGTACGATTCACAAATGTAAGTTTAAGTTCGCAGCCATTGCCGAGATTACGAGGTAATATACAAGTAGCTGAATTTTAATTTTAATGTAGTCATAAAATTATCACAGACTTCCCCGTTCCACATTGTACACATCCTTAGCATCACGGATGTTTTGGTATGTTTATAATGCACAATTCACAACACATAAACTAACTCATTATGAGCGATGATCCTGCATACACTGATGCACACAACTGACCTAAAACAACCCCCCACCAGCAACCTTCCCCAGTTTTTATTTCTCTAATTTCTGCCATCAGCCTCTATCGAGCCCTGTGCTTTGGAGGTTTGCAGGAGTCTGTCTGCATGAAGGAATCTGCACAGCAGAGCAACAGTTTCCAAGCAAATGACTTCTACATAAAAATACATTTTTTTATATACATCTACATTCTAAATAAATAGCTTGTCATCTTTTGAACCATTTTGGGTCACAGGCCTGTCAGCTATGTCTCACCAATTCACATCTCACACATCTAGAAGATGGATATTTTGCAACAAAGGTAATCCAAACAAAATGCAAATTAGAGTCTCAGAATTACTGCATACACTGAATGATAATAAAAAGATATTCTCTCATTGATGATTTTCCTATTTTATTCTACAAAAAAATACACTTTTTCCTATTGTTTTTCAATCCACTTTTCAATATTGTTTAAATACACTGGGATCCTTGATTGCCTCTTGTAGTATTTCCCTTTATCTTGTCAATTATTATCTTACCAGGTATTTTTTTTCTTGCTCAAACTTTTCTTCATACTTCCTAATTTTTCTCTTGAGACTCTGAAGATGCTTGGTAAGCTGTGCTACTGTTTGTGGTTCTTTGCACTCTTCACAGTTACATCGAGAAGAACTTCTTGGCCTGCAAATGCCAAAAGCATGGTAGCTGCATCAAAGAACTGGCTATAATGGACCGTGTCTTGTTTTAGACACATTTAACACTTTTCTAGCACTTCAGGATGTGCAGCTGGGTTCTTTCACTGGATAGAGACAGTTGAGTTTTTCAAAGTAAGCATAAACTAATTGCTTTAGCCTGAAGGTATCCCTAGGGTATACTAATGGGTTCACCATCTGTCTTTCACTCTATCTTTTTTTTTTTAATTAATTGTGTGATTTCTGAATATTTTTCAAAAGTTTAATCTAGTGAGTCACAACCTGATTCAGTATTTACATTTATCACAGCATCTTACTTCACAAATCTTCCAGCTGTAACAGAAGACTGTAATGACAAGATTTGTAAAAGTAAGCTCAGGGAGTTTTTAATTACTAGGAATAAACATTATCATTTTGAAAGCAGTTTAGTTTCTGATTTTTTACAATTGCAAATCAATAGATCTGATTATTATTCATATGCAGCTGACAGCTATGTACATAAGCTTTTAAGAAAGTTTGGTTTCTGTCTGAAACTCACAGCTGGGTTTCTGGAGATCACAAAAAGGGTCTGTTGATATGTTCTATGACACTCTAAATTCTAGTGAATGACTCAAGCTATAGTTCTATTACAACTGAAATTTTTAGTATTATACCTTGATAGCCCTCTCTACCTTATGTTCACTCATCAGACTAATTACTAGCTAACATTTAAAACTGTCCTTGCTAACTATAAGTAACAAAGGCTTCAAACAATACTGTACTGCATTATGACTGGATAAATGCTACATCCAATTTCTGGTACTGGAAACTAAGCATGTGAAAACATGCTACAATATGGAAATTTCTTGTTTATGACATATCAGTAACTGAAAAAACATGAAGAGTCAAAGATCATGGATCATACAAAAATTGTTTAAAATATGTAAGAATTAAAATATATTTTCTTACATCATGAAAGGTTGAGCACTTGGTGGAGAAGGGGCAGACTCTGTGTCTAGGTTAAATCTCTGGCTTTGGCTAAAGATAGAGCAGCGTGGTGACAGAAGAGGATTGTCTCCATCCGTAATGTGGTACAGCAGCCGACTGGTCCCTAGGGAGTGATGTTCTTGTGGGCTGCTGTCCGTCTCATTCTGCCAGTCTCTGTGGGCTGGCACAGGCTCTAGAAAGAAAGTATAAACCAATATGGACTGAGAGTCACTCACAAGATATTTAGCTACCTAGAGAAATACAAATCTATACTCACAGAATATTCAAAGCATAAGTATTCAAAGTAAACAGCAAATAGTTCAGCAAAGTATCACATGCAGGATGAACATAATACTGAGGCTGAGAAAACTAGGAAGGACAGTTATAGGCTTAACAAAGCATTTTTTGAGTTCCATGGGAGAAGGTGGGTGTGTGTTTGTAAACTATGAAGTATAATATGAAGATGGAGAGTTTCCCAGAATAGTAGCATTAATTATATTTTCATAGATCCGCATGGTTTTGAAAGCCGCATTCCTAAAGAAGACGATGAATGTACAAAACAAGTTTAATTTTGTGATTTAACATTTAGTCCTTTGGTCAAGAGAAAGGCAGATAAAAAATATAGTATGTCCTGATGCTAAGAACCTCCAGTGCTGCTTGCAGTATCCTGTAGAATTTCATTAAGGTTTGCAGTAACACACACAGGACTAAAGAACAGAAGATACGAAAATAACAACAGCAACCAGCAACATTCAACTCAATGTAGTGTAGTAACTCGTAGTGAGCAGAAACTGCTACTTGGAGGCATCATGTGTATGATACTGTGTTAACATTGTCATAGACTATAAATGGAGGCTCAAAAGGTAAAATCTGTTTTAGAGAGATGGTCAAGCTAGAAGACAGAATGATTTATTCTGGACTGAAAAAGTAGGAATTGGTGAGCCTCATCACACTGATTCTGTTTGTGGGTAACATGGAAAATAATGTGCACGTTACAGAGCCTACCTCCAGGGAACACCAAGAGTTCATCTTCCCCTTGCTCTGCCTGGGTATGTTAACAGGAAGAACCATTGAATGTTCTTCCTCACCCTCAGTGGGTGAAATGGGTGAGGATGATCCAGCCTAGTCAATATTTTTGCTATAATCTGATTTAAAGCAGATATATTTTTTAGGGAGGACCTCCACACCCTCATAAAAGCTCTTCCCCCCCAAAAGAAGTTGACATATGTTAAAGCAAAATGTTCTCTGTCTCAGGTTCCCCTACATCAGTTTCCATAGTACATAGCATTTTTCACCATCTACATTATTTTTTTCCTCTAAACCCATGTATATAAACAGTCTTTGAATTCATATCAATTATTATGTGTTTGCAGGCAGCATGCATGTTAGTTCTAGTCAGCACTGTATTTGCAATATAGCATGCATTCTAACACATTTCACAGAATCTTTTTATTCAGTGAAAGTCTACAACTGCACAGAAAAACAACCGTACATGGACTTACAGAAGAGCAAGCAGGTTTATAAAAGTTCTTTCACGTCCATTTTCATTCCGTTTTCTCATTTGTACATTGGACATGACATTCCCATGGTGAGTGGGTATTTCTTTCAGGAATTTAATGGAACCTTTGTAATATATTTTATTTCACTTCTGCCCAACAGATACTGAAGCTACAAATCCCTACTGCTGCACATGGAAAGTGGGGACAAAACAGCTCTGAATGGCACCCTTCACAGAAAACAACTAGTGATTTAAAAAATAATAATTACCGTGGCCTGAAATACCATTTTATCAGGCACTATTCAGCTGTTTTTGCTTAACAGACAACAAAAATTCCAATTGTATATTTTATAATCACAGTTCAGTCTATCATGCAAAAGTTATGCTTTTACTTTTGTACCTATAAATTCATCTAATCTAATCTAACAGCATCATCAATTATAATTACATTAAGCATTTTCACAATGAGACAATGTAGCTTATTAATTCTTATCCAGCATCTTTCCTCTAAGTACTTCGTACTCTGTAGGTCAAAGTCAATATTCCAAGATACCAGAGCAACACCCAGATCTTCTCAATCACGTATGAGATCCAAATCCTCCCATAGAGAGATGCAGAAAGGTATCTGGGAGAAGCAAGAGTAGAACATTGTACCAGTCACAGGAAATTGTGTCCAGACAACATCCAGTGACACAGGCTGGAATAAAAGTTGTTCTGCAAACAAAAGTGTTGTCTCTTTCTGGCAAGTAATCTTTCCTCACCCTGTAAAACTTTAAGAAAATTAATAATTTGGGTTGGTTTTTGGTTTGGTGGGTTTTGTTTCCGGTTTTGTTTTTAACTTCTGAAAAAACAATATTGTCCATGGGAAGAAACTACCTTGCTTCCTCTTATTTCACCCTCTTTGAACTTAACAAAACACACAATCACTATGAAGTAGGTTGACTAAGAATAGTTTCACTATTTCTCATGCTCTGTTACGAAAAAGAATATTTTTTATACTCAAATTAAGTAGCAGTCTCCTCACTGTGAAAGGAAAATAATGTTATAAAAAGAATCAGCCAGTCTGCGTATGAAAGGGGAAGGAAAATGCTTCCAACAGTTGAACTCTGATTTTCTGTGGACCTAGAAGTACTGCTCTTGCAGGAAACAGTCTGTACTGCTGATAAACTACATGGTCACAGACATTTGCTCCTTTTTACATTTACAGCCAGGCAATTTTACTAGGCCCAACCCAATCTGAGAAAGAGAAGCAAAGTACACATTCAAGACTGAACACTGCTGGAAGATAAAAAAGCAAAGGACAAGGAGGGGTGGGAGCAGCCCCAGTGTAAACCCAAACACACAGACCTGCAGAGAGTTCAAGGAGGTTTTTCTATTCAGCTAGCAAATGAAAGGGAGACAACATGCATGCCAGGTGAATTTGGGAGCATTTCCCTAAGACCAGGGCTCTTCCGTTTCCTTGGCACCAGGACATCCTGACAGCATTGCTCCACTAAAGCTTGCAAACTGGTGCAACTTTGGTACGGCCCCAAGAAAGATTTTAGTCCCAGCTCTGCTACAGATGCATTAGATTACTACCTCCTGTCCAGAATTGGTCAGCAAGTCATTCAGCTGGTTCATTTACATGGCCTGATTACTGTAACAGTGGAACATCTCAGGATGAGGAGGAGTTATAACCAAACCCATTTTCAGTTACAACTTAGGCCCATCATCCTGATCCCAGTTCTGTGTAGATCCTAAACAAGACACAACACTAAGCATTATCTTGAGAGCAGGCTATGAACTGACCAAATATCTACCTGTGTTCATGTGTCTGGTTTAATTTTAGCCTCTATTTTTGCCAAAACTGGGAACTAAGGCCACTTCTAGACAAGCCAGTAAGTTGTCCCTTAGCCTGCATCTACTTCGTCTCACCTACTGAGCCCAGTTTAGCACTGACAAGAGCTCACCACAGGACTTAAAGCCAAGATCTAGTACCTTATAATATGCAGTGTGCTCCATAATGTGGACTTCATATGACAAATCATGTGGTACAAGTTTGTATTCCTGCATGTGATAATCTTCACTTTGAGTAAAATAATAATACACTGAAATCTGCTGTATATAAAAAAGAATATGCAGGTGGAATGTGATTATATCTCAACAAGTTATGTCTGTGAATGCCAGTATCAGGGTTTTTAATTTAAAAGACATTTAGAACATCCTGTAGTTAAGTTCAGCTGCTCACTGCTCAAGTCACGTTTGATGTATACCCATAACCAAAAGCTATAAAAACAACTCATCCTCTGCTTTTATTTTTTTCCCTTAAAAAAATAGTTTAGTACCCCCTTGCAATCCTTTATGGTCTCACTTTGACAGCTCTAATTTAAGTTTTTACATATTCAAAAGTAAACTGGAAATTGTTGACTTTGTTCAGAGACAAGAGTTACTGCTCACCCCTTACAAATTGCATCCTGAAATACCCTGTCATCTTCCTAGGCTGTTCTAGCTTTATTCACCACACATATAGTGCATTTTTTCTACTTTTTGTTGACTGGCATGTGAAACAAAATTAATTAAACGGACTACACAACTATGTTTACTTTAAAAATAATACATTTGTATATTGTTAATATTATTTTTTCCTTGCCTGATTTCGCTGAGCAAAGGCTAGAGACTTAGTGCACATGGCATGTCCTCTAAAATCTCTGTTCCCAGCCTGGTACAAACCTCTGGACTTCTATCCAAGTTCAAGCTGAAATAGCCAGCAGTCCCATGTGACAACTGTACCTAAACTGAATGTATCAGTAGATTTCAGGAGTAACTTAAAAAAATGGAATTAAGACTAGCTGTAGCTATGTAATGTGGCAAGTTATTTAAAAAAAAAAAC